AATATAATAATAATAATAATAATAATAATAATAATAATAATAATAATAATAATAATAATAATAATAATAATAATAACAATAACAATAAAACAATGATGTGGTGATGAGAATGAGGAAGAGGATAGGATGATGACAATAACACTAATAATAATAATGACGATAACAAAAGTTTTCAGATTTCCAAAGAGGAAATGAACACGAAAAAAAAAAAACATAATCAAAATAAGCAATAAACAAATAAAAAAAATAATACAATCATAAAACAAAAAATAAAAATAAATAAAACCATAAACCTCTACAATAATCACAAAAACAAAAAGAAAAAAAAACATAAATAAATAAAACAAAAAGCAACAGGATTTTGACCATCACTCACCCCCCCCCCTCGCCCCCCTCCCCCAACCCGCCCCGCCCCCCGCCCCTCGCCCCACCCCTCGCCCCCACCCCACCCCCATCCCCCGCCCCTCAGACCAATAACAATTACCTCATTGAAGGGACTTAGGTTAGAAAATCATTATCTTCCTCTGACGGAGAAAAGAACTTGTTGGGGTGAAACGCTCGCTGTCAAGGATGGGGGAGTGGGAGGGGGAGGGAAAGCACTTAGGAGGGAGGGGGGGGGAGTTTTAAGGGGGGGAGGGGTGGTGGGAAAAGGGGGAGTGAAGGGAGGGGGAGGGGGGAGAATTTTGGAGGGAGGGGGGGTGGAAAAAGGGTGGAAGGGGAGGGGAAAGGGGGGAGGGAGTGGTGGAAAAGGGGTGGAGGGGAAAGAGGGTGGTAGTGGAAAAGGTGGAAGGGAGGGGAAAGGGGGGAAGGTGGTCGGAAAGAGAGGAGGGGGTGATTGGGGGCGTGACGGAAAGGGGGTGGGTGGAGGGGGAGGTTGGGTGAACGGCAGGGCGGAGGTCTGGAAGTAGCTATATTTCCGCAATTGCTCTCTGTCTGTCTGTCTGTTTCTGTTTCTGTTTTTTGTGTCTGTGTCTGTGTCTGTGTCTGTGTCTGTCTGTATCTCTCTCTCTCTCTCTCTCTCTCTCCTCTCTCTCTCTCTCTCTCTCTCTCTCTCTCTCTCTCTCTCTCTCTCTCTCTCTCTCTCTCTTCTCTCCTTCTCTCCTTCTCTCCTTCTCTCCTTCTCTCCTTCTCTCCCTTCTCTCCTTCTCTCCTTCTCTCCCCCCTCCCTCTCCCTCTCCCTCTCTTTTTCCCTCCCTCATCCCCCCCTCTCTCCCCATCCCACCCCTTTCTCCCTCCCTCTCCCGCTTTTCTTCTCATCCCCCTCTCTCCCCATCCCTCCCATCCCCCCTCTCTTTCTCTCCCCCCCTCTCTCTCTCCCTCTTTCCTTCTCATCCCCCTCTCTCTCTCCCGCTCTCCTTTAACAGCTGTGGCACCAACACCACAAATAGCTTCCCATAAATTGCACAAGAACCAAGAAGACATTTAGCAACAGCAACAGGAATCCATTTCAATTCCATTAAAATCCATTTATTATCCATTTAGATCCGATTAAAATCTACTCGACCAACAGGCGCCAAGAGGTAGTAACTATCCATCTATCTACTTATCCGCGTGTCACCTATCCAGCTATCCAGCTTTGTCTAGCCATCTTCGTCTGTCCATGATATCCACACTCACATATCCATCCACTTTTCTAACCTAACCGCTATCCACCATCATCTATCCATTTATCCAATCTCATCTATCCACTCATCTACCCATTACCTATCCACTTATCCACCTCCACCTATCCACCTCCACTTATCCACTCTCACTTATCCACCTCCACCTATCCCTACCTTCACCTATCCACTTCACTTATCCACTTCCACTATCCACCTTTACTTATCCACTCTCATTATCCACCTTTACTTATCCATCACTTATCCACCTTTACTTATCCACTCTCACTTATCCACTACTCCACTTACTTATCCACCTCTATCCACTTCCACTTATCCACCTTTACTTATCCACTCTCATTTATTCTCCTATCCAAGATATCCATCCACGAGTAACAAACAGATCTATTCGTGTACACCAACGTTATGCAACACGTTTCAACATGTTAAAGTGCAGTGCCGGCGGATGGAGCAAGTCAGCCGGTTAGAGGAAGGGGCGGGCGGGGGGGGGGGGGGGCTAGGGGGGAGGGGGGGAGGGGAGAGGAAAGAGGGGAGGGAGGGGGAGCGGGGAGGGAGAGACTGGGAGAGGAAAGAGGGGAGGGAGAGGGGAGCGGGGAGAGAGAGGGGGGGAGAAAGAAGAGAGAGAGAGAGAGGGGGGGAAAGAGAGAGAGAGGAGAGAAGAGAGAGAGAGAGAGAGAGAGAGAGAGAGAGAGAGAGAGAGAGAGAGAGAGAGAGGAGAGGGAGAGAGAGAGAGCTACCTAAGGAGGTGAAGAGAAGAGGGGAGAAGGGGAGAAGGAATCTAGGGAAGTGGAAGGAGAAGAAAGGAGAAGGGAAGAGAGAGACAATTTTGAGGGGATGGAGATAGTTGGAGAAAAGAGAGAGGAGGGAAAGAGAGAGAAAGAGAGGAGAAAAGGGGTGGGATGGGAGAGAAAGACATTAGTGGAGGAAGTGAAGGTGTATGAGGAGAAGGGGAGGAAGTGAAGGGGAGGGGAGAAGGGGGAGATTAGCTGGGGGATGGAAGGAGAAGAGAAGGAGGAGATAAGGTGCAGGGTGAGGGAGAGAATGGAGAGGAAGAGGGAATAGGAAAAGAAAATGTGGGATGAGATGGAGAAGGAAAGGGGGAATGGGGAGGAGGAGGAGAAGAGAGAGAGAGAGAGGAGAGAGGAGAGAGAGAGAGAGAGAGAAGAGAGAGAGGAGAGAGAGAGAGAGAGAGAGAGAGAGAGAGAGAGAGAGAGGAGAGAGAGAGAGAAGAGAGAGACAGACAGACAGACAGACAGACAGACAGACACAGACAGGACAGACAGACAGACAGACAGACAGACAGACAGAACAGACAGACAGAGACAGAGACAGAGAAGAGGAAATGGAGATGGAGGAGAAAGAGAGGGAGGAGGAAAAAGATGGTTATAAATTTGGAGAAGGGTGGGTCCCCAAAGAGAGAGAGAGGAGAGAGGAGGAAGGAAGAGAGAGAAAGAGACAAGAGAGAGAGAGGAGAGAGGAGAGAGGAGGGAAGACATGAGAAGAGAGAAGAGAGTAACGAGAGAGAGGATGGAAGAGAGAGAAAAGAGAGGAAAGAGACGAAAAGAGAGAAGAGAGGAAAGAGACGAAAAGAGAGAAGACGAGAAGAGAGAGAGAAGAGAGAAGCGAGAGGGGCGTTGTGTGTGTGTGTGTTCTGAAAGGGGGGGGAGGGGGGTAGTGGAGCCCTCAAGGTTGAAAGTAAAGTTACTGCGTAGAAACTCCTACTCAATTTCGTGGTCGACTTTTCCTTCGGTTTGGGAGACGGGTAAGAAGAGCTGTCTGCCGTGTTTGTTTGTTTGTTTGTATGTTTGTTCGTTGCGTGTGGTTGTTTGTTTGTTGTGTCTATGGTTGGTTGGTTGGTTTATGTTTGTTTGTATTTTGGTATCTGGTTGGCTGTGTGCGTGTGTGTATGCGTGTCCGAACATGCGTATGAGTCTATAAATGTCTGCATATATCTAAGTCTACATGTACGCGTACTTGTCTGTGCACGTATAGCCACATATCCGTGCATCTACTCCCCCACCCCCTCCCCACCCCTCCCCCACCTCCAGCCAAGCACCCAAGCACCCACACAGCATGACCTGCCCCCCCCCCCACCCCCCCACCCCACCCCGCCCGTGAGATTATGACGTTGACGAGTGGCACGATCCGAGGGTGGGTGTGAGGCGCCCACGCCGGCAGATTGGCAAGAAGTCACGGATAGTTTTTTTTTTTTTTTTTTAATCTCTTGCTGTTTTTTTTTTCGTTTTTTTTGTTTTTGTTTGTTTTTGTTTTTTCTCGGTCTTTCTTAGGTTTTGGTTTTTGGTTTTTTGGTTTCTTGTTTTTTCGTTCTTTCTTTTTTTTTTCTCTTTATTTTTCTCTTTCTCTCGTTCTCTCTCGTTCTCTCGTTCTCTCTCTCTCGTTCTCTCTCTCTCTCGTTCTCTCTTCTCTCTCTCTCTCTCTCTCTCTCTCTCTCTCTCTCTCTCTCTCTCTCTCTCTCTCTCTCTCTCTCTCTCTCTCTCTCTCTCTCTCTATTTCCATTTTCTATCTCTTTCTTTCCTCCTATCTTTATCCCTTTATTTCTCTTTCTTCTCCCTACTTCCCTTATCCTTCTTACATTATCCCCCTTCCTTTTCACGCTTTATCCATTCTTCCTCATCTCCACTATCAAACTTTTTCCTTTTTTCCTTTTATTTGAAAATCAAATAATATTCTATCAGGATTTTTCACTTTCTTCTTTTTTTTCTTCATCTATGTACAATCAAGGAAAAAAATTTATTATTCTAATTTATCCCTTATTCTAATTTATCACATTTTCTTTAAATAATCTACTTTCTTACCTTGCACGTCTCGTAAGCCAAGTTTGACCCATTTTGACCTCTTGTGTCGCCGAGGTCAGTTGTAGAACTTCAAAAGGTCGGGACTTCCTCTATAGGCCTATGCGGAACTTTGTTGTGTATGCAAAATAGGCATTTTGTTTTTTTATTTTTTTCTTCAATCTTGTTGTTGTTTTTTTAAATGTATTCTGTCTATGAATAAATGAAAGTCGTATTGTTTTGTTTTGTTTTTTTCTTTCTTTCTTTCTTTCTTTTTTAGTTATTCCTTCATTTCGTGTGTCACTTTTTTCAGATATTTAACTTCACGTTTGTCGTTATGTTTATATATCTTATTTTTTGGTCTTTTTTATGTATTTCATCTTTTGTTTTTTTTTCATCTATTTCATCTCACTTTTGTCTTTCTGTTTATCCTCATTATCTTTATCTTATCACATTCCTCAATTCCAGTCTTTATCAACATCTATAATTCTTTTTCTTTCGAATTTGGAATCTTTATCGTCGATAAAACTCGATTAAAAACTCCGTAAGTCATTGTATTTTGAATGGTTTTTATCTTTCTCTTTAC